CCAGCCTGGTCCAGAAGAAAGGGGGCCTTAGGTTCAGATTATCTGGATCTGGATTTTCGTTCATCGAGCCAAACAATTTCCGACAACCCACGGACATCAACTGAACGCACCCCCTCACCCGAGACCAAGACTTAAGGCCACTACGGTTCCGCTGCCTGCCCCAGAGCCATGGGTTTTCGAAGACTAGGTCGGAGGCCAGATTTTCAGCCGCTGGCAGAAAGAAGGCCCGGTGGGCGCATCAGAGGTCGTGCGCCTCTTCAAGACCTGGAGGCCAGGCTGACCGCGGTAAGGGGACTGCTGGTTATGGCCCTGCTTAGCCGCCAAGAGAGCCTCGGAGTCCCGGTTGTGCGAAAACGGAAAATTCTTGTCCCCTGTAAACTGCTTCTGCTACCAGCCCAGCCTGGACATTCCAGCCGGCAACGATCTCCCATGCAGGCGGGGGCTCGTCTAGAAGGGGAACGCGCCCTCAGGGCTGCAGAGACCCTTTAGTGCCTCCAGCCTCCTCGCTTTGCTGAAGGGGAACTGAGGCCCAGATAAGGGGCCGGGCTCAGCCCGTGGTCGCGATGGGGAACTCCAGGCTTAGCTTCTTTCAGTGTTTCCGCCACCTCCGACGGAGGGGAAAGGCGGCAAAGGAGTACAAGCAACCTTCTGGGAAGTGTTTGAGGCAGCCGGGACTGCCTTGCTGCAGTGAGGGCAGCGAACCGAGTGAGGTCTCCCCGCCAATACCCTCTGGTCCCCTCGCAGACTTATTCTTTCCCTCCGTTATGACTCAACTCGGGCTTTGGGATTTTACTTATGGTTGTGGGCACTTTTTTCTTTTGGGGCTCAGAAAGGAAAAAAGAGTTGAAATTCCACCAAGCAGCAGATAAGGAGCTCCCTTTGAAGGAGGTCATATGGTTTCGTTTTGCCCCAAACGCGAAGAGACTGTGCAGACTCCCCCCACTATTGGAGATTTGCTCACCAACCACAGATGCCATGCCATCGACTCCTGGGGTCTGAAGTCTGGGTGCTGCGGTGACCTCAGGCAGCCCTGCTCCAAGCTGAGGCTCAGGGGGGAGAGGGAGGCAGGAGAGGCACTGGGCAAGTGCTCCCCACCCCTCCCCCGTGCTTTCTCCCAAGGGCTTGCTCGCTGCCACACTTTCTCTGAGCTTCTCCTGCAGCCTCTCTCAGCTTTGAGATGCTGCCACTGCATCCTCTCCCTCCAGAGAGAGGGAGAGGCGGCCTTACTAGCCTTGCCAACCAAGCAGAGCTCCCCAGGAAAGGATTTAGCTCAGGCTGAGACTACTGAAGGCCTAACTCGACCTAAGAAAGAACATCTGGTGCCTCTACAAGCTTAGGGCCCTGCACATGTCACCTCTCCCACAGCTGGGAGCCCACTCTGCAGAGTTAGGGCTGGGGCCTTCCCTGCCTCTGTACACCAGGACTTGGGCTCCCTATGAGTACCCTAGTATCCCATCCAGGATGCATGCCAGGCCCTCGGAGAGTGCTTGAAAGTTCCCACCAGACCATAAGGCCATTTGGGCCCAGGATGCCCCTGTATCCCAAATAAAGCAGTCTGTGTAGACGTTATGTGTATGTTGGAGGGTTCGAGAGATTTGATCACTGCCCCGCCTCTACCTGCTTTCCCAGGCTAGGGTCGGGCATATACAACCCCCAGTGGCTCCCAGGCAGGACCTGGATGGCAGCAGCACTTAACTTTCCGGCCCTATTTGCCTTTCTTTCCTTTCTGCCTTCCATTCTGGGTCTCTGGCTGGACAGAATTAAGGCCGAAATTACTTGCATTTCCTCCTGAAATTAGTTAAATTTTCCCTATCTGTCTGTTTTAATGGCTTCAATAGAGATTAATAAAATCCAGATGACACTCACCAACCACCACAGTCTCACCTAAGTCCTACCTTTGGAGGGCTCAGGGCGGAGTAAGGTGGGGTCCCAGAGAGGCCTGCA